GTGTGTGTGTGTGTGTGTGTGTGTGTGTGTAGACGAGCCTTGGTGGGATAGTGGGTTACTTGTTGGGCTGCTAACCTCAAGGTTATTCATTCGAAACCACCAGCTGCTTCTTGGGGGAAAGATAAAGCTTTCTACCCCCTTAAAAGAATTGCGGTCTTAGAAACTCACAGGAGCAGTCCTACCCTGTCCTATAGGGTTGCTATCAATCATCATTGACTGGTAGTGAGTTTTGTTTCTCATTTGTTTGTTTGTTGGTTGGTTGGTTTTAAGTTTTATAAATCCATAAGCCCTGGTGGGGTAGTGGGTTATGAGTTGCACTGCAAATCTCAAGTTGACCAGTTTGAAACCAGCAGGCTGAGAGAGAAAGATGAGACTTTCAATTCCTGAAAGGTTCAGCCTCAGAAACCCACAGGGGCAGTTTTAGTTTGTCCTATAGGGATTCTATGAGTCACATTTGACAGAAGTGACATTTTGGAATAAATTCATACATGGATCTCTGGTGACAGAGTAGTTTAAAGTAATTGTCTGTTAACCACATGACTGGCCATTCAAATCCAGAGTGGCTCCAAGGAGGAGAGATGTGGCAGTCTGCTTCAGTCTCGAACATTCCGTGCAGCAGATCTGGTCTGTCGTCCAAGTATGACTTGGAGTAGACGAGACAGCAGTGGGTTATACGTATTTGTGTGAGTCTGTTTCTTAACTACCTTACTATTATATTAAGGCTTTTTTATTTTCATTTTCTGCCCTCTAGACATGTCTTTGTATGAAAGAAGTCTATTAAGTCTTGTTATTAGGGCATTTCTCAAAATTTTTCCTTTCCTATCTTGTAGCTCCTGTTTTATGAATCTGGTTGCTGTGTTGTTTCATAGTTATTTTGCATCATTTCATATTATTATAACACTGAAGCCTCTTTATTTAATAATTTCCTCTTATATTCTACTAATCTTACATCGTGATAGACGTTTTGTGGTATTTTTTCCTTTCTTGAGAGAGAAATGGTTACATTCTTAAACACCTCTTAATCTTTCTATGATTTTAATGTTCATTTATATATGGCACGGAGTTAGGTTTTGCTTTGTTGCTTATCAGAAAATGTAATTTTTATTGGAAATGAATGTACAGTACTAGGATTTACACTTAATGATATAATTGATATATTTGATCTTATTACTAGCATTTTATTCTACCTTAAATTTACTAGACATTTTGTCATCTGTTTTGTTGTTGTTGTTGTTCTGGTTTACCGTGTTTCATTTTGTTTGTTTTGTTCCATATTTACTAGAAATAATTTATATAATGTCCTGAACATATCCTTCTTTTTCTCAAGCAATGTAGTTTGATCTATTACTGTGAATAGGAATAACATTGGCTTGTAATTCTTTTTTCGTTCTTCCCAATGCAAAAGTTTTTATTGAAAAAATTTTGGTAAAATAATATTACCACAAAATACTGTTATCTTCCTTAGTGCTTATCTCTGTGTTCGTCATTATGATTAGTCTAACCTCATTCCATTTATTAGCTTTAACTTGTATCATCTGATGACCACTTGTTATCAACATATTAATTAATGATTCGATTCTATAGTTTCTTCTTCCTCCTTCATTTCCTGTTTTATGGGTTGTGACATTGTTGTTTATCCCTAGTAATAGCTACATACCTCTGACGTATGCTTTTATCTTCAATGTCCAGTTAGTTGGATTCAATACTTCTTTCCCAG